AAAAAAAACTAGTTGGAAAAAGTAGTTCATAAGAAAAAATCTGGGATGCAGGCATTTTATCTCCTGATCAGACAATTAGGGCATCATCATCATCATCATCATCATCATCATCATCATCTGATAATAATCTTCATCACGTCTGCATCATCCATCACTATTATACTCACTTCTACCAAGTATTATCGACTGCAATTTTTGGACGGTCTATGATTCAGCTTGCATCTCCTCTGCAGAAATAAAGCAGTCTGACTCCGCTTTAGCTGTCATGGCTCATCCTTTGGGATCCTGGGATTTGTAGTTTGTTGCAGCACCAGAGAAGGCTAAATAGCCCACAAAACTACCAGTCCCAGGATTCCATAGCACGGAGCCAGGGCAGTTGAAGCGGGTTCACACTGTATTAATTCTGCAGTCGAGATGCAGCCTCAAATTCTGTTCAGGAATCTAGGAACCAATGACTTATCGTCGGGTAATAGGACATCATCTATTATGCTTATGATTATGATTATTATGATTATTGTTATGATTATGATTATGATTATTATAGTATTATTATTAGTAGTAGTATTGCTTAGTGGTTTGAGTGTTGGACTAAGACTCTGGAGACCAGGGTTCGTCTATTCCTGGTTCTGCCAGATAAACTCACTGGGCCATCTTGGGCAAGTCACACTCTCTCAGCCTCAGAGGAAGACAATGGCAAACCTCCCCTGAACAAATCTTGCCCAGAAAACCCCAGGTCTCCATAAGTCGGGAAATGACTTGAAGGCACACAACAGCAACAAAAAATCATCATCATCATCATCATCATCATCATCATCATCATCATTTCTATTCTTCCCTCCCTACTGTGAAAGCAAATTAAGATCTGAGTTTTCCAGTCTTATCTGAGCCATCTGAATTAAAAAATCGGAGAATAAATGGGGAAAAGCGAGGAGCACCTCCGCAGCCTTCCCTCCTTCGGGGAGTGTATCCAAAGTAAACCGGAGTGACTCTGGATTATCCCTGGGGTGACTCCAGGAAGGAAACCCAGCCTTGATTGGATCCATCTTTTGCAGCATGAACATAGGAAAGTAAAGCAAGAGTTATTCTAGTTGCGTGTGAATTAATTACAACGAACGTATTATAAAATTAGGAAGAGGACTCCGTGTCTAAAGAGTATGGGGTTGCATCCGCACTGTAGAAATGATCCGGGTTGGCACCACTTCCACTGCCATGGCTCAGTGCAATGGAGTTCCATAGCACTGAGCCATGGCAGTGGAAGTGGTGTCAAACTGCATTATTTCTGCAGCCTAGGAAATTCAGGGCAGATAGAAAATTGGATTTTTCTCTCTCCCTGGTAGTTTGGATTCGTTGTAACTGCGTTCCCTGTTTCCTGCCTCCGTCGTTCCTTTACAGTAGCAAATGAGCTTTTGCACTGGTGCAAAATTCGCAGAGTCTATTTCCCAGTGGCTGTTGCAGTACAAGAAATCCAAACATCCCAGACCTCTTTTGCACACATATCTTGCACATAGATCTTGCACACATTTTTGCACATAGATCTTGCAGCAGGATCTGGCTGAGAAAGAAATAAAATTCCCCCACTCTCTAAAAAATAAAATAAAATAAAAATAAAATAAAATAAAATAAATAGGGTCATGCAATCCCTGCTCCGAAGTTGCAGCTCTGCAAGGCAAACCATATAGAGATTTTGAACGAAGCAGCTGCAGTGACACGCGTCCTCTATGGGTGGCGCTAGAGAGCCGCGAGTGAAGGAGGAAATCTGATCATACAGCTTTAGATCTAGATTAGAAAAAGGGGGAGGGAGAGGAGAGGCTTCTCCTCCTTCCTTCTATTGGGGGAAAAGAAGTGGATAAACAGAGTCAACCTGTTTCTGCAGGGGATGAAAGATGCTCAGTCAGGTAGAAATCCATCCTCTTTGCTTGTATACCCCCCCACCCTCCTTGACTTCCCCAAACTTTTTGCCTTCTGCAAAAATTAGAGTAAAAGAATTCCCATCCCTGGGATCAAACATGGATAGAAATGGGGACTGCAGCCAGGAAGTCAGAAGAAGACTAAGAATGGGGAGAGTGGCTATGAAGGAACTAGAGAAAGGTCCTAAGATTGCAAGGATATACAAGGCTTATTATTGTCAATTGTTGGAGTTTGTATATGTTTTAACTGTAAGCTGCCTTGATTGCTATGGCAAAAGGCTGGGTAGAAATTATTATTATTATTATTATTATTATTATTACAGTGGAACATCAAGAAAACTAAAATAGTGACCACTCAGGACCTTCACAAGTTCAG